TTCACATGGAGCAGCATTAACTACACAGAGCCGTTGTTCACTGAGGAGCTGCGCTAAAAATCGCGCGAATATGAACGTGGTTTGGCGCAGCTCGTCAGTGAACAACGGCTCTGTGTAGTTAATGCTGCTCAATGTGAAAGCACGCAGGTGATGGAGATTTACCCCTGATTAAAGAACCGGCTTTACTGATAAGATGCGCGTTAAATATCGCTTGCGATTAATCGTGCAGCCCTAGTCTTTATGTTCTTTTTGCTCAGCAGCGGTTTTCGTCTTGGGACTGTGCCATGCAAACCATTTTTGCCCAGTCTTTGTTATGGTGGAGTCATGAACACTGACCTTAACTGGGGCAAGTGAGGCCTGCAGTTCTTTGGATGTTGTTGTGGGGTCTTTTGTGTCCTTTTGGATGAGTCGTCGCTGTGCTCTTGGGGTAATTTTGGTCAGCCGGTCACTCCTGGGAAGGTTCTCCACTGTTCCATGTTTTTGCCATTTGTGAATAATGGCTCTCACTGTGGTTTGCTGGAGTCCCAAAGCTTTAGAAATGGCTTTATAACCTTTTCCAGACTGATAGATCTCAATTACTTTCTTTCTCATTTGTTTCTGAATTTCTTTGGATCTCGGCATGATGTCTAGCTTTTGAGGATATTTTGGTCTACTTCACTTTGTCAGGCAGGTCCTATTTAAGAGATTTCTTGATTGCGAACAGGTGTGGCAGTAATCAGACCTGGGTGTGGCTAGAGAAATTGAACTCAGGTGTGATAAACCACAGTTTTAACAGGGGGGCAAACACTTCTTCACACAGGGCCATGTAGTTTTGGATTTTGTTTTCCCTTAATAATAAAAACCTTCATTTAAACACACCACTGTATGTTGCTGCTTTTTTATTGTTTATATTATTGCATTGTTTCTGTAATGCTCAATTGTTTGGTTATATGTGTTGCAGGCAATTTGTCAATGCATGCAGCATGGCTCTGGACATTAACGAGAGACTCATTAAGGAGGATCAGTATGAGTATCACGAGGGACTAAAGGCTAACTTCAAAAGCATGGTGATAGAACTTTCGGATATCATCCATGAGCAGGTATGTTTGGTTGGTCATTTATAGTTCTTAGTTCTTGTTCTTCTTTCTACTTCTATACAACAAATTTCTGCAATTAATTCAGCCACAGGGTTATTATAGTGAACTAAATCTAAAAGCATAAAAGAATATTTGTTACTTAACTTAACTATTTTTCAGCAACATTTGGATACTATTAGTTTTCATTATTCTTGATGTTCTAAATTAACTAAAACCAAAATAAAAATGAATGAAGAGTATGTAGTTAAAAAGCCAACTACAAAAGCCAAAAATACTAAAACTTTAACTAAAATGAAATAAAAATAGCAATAAAAAAGTACCTACCTAATACTACTACAATAACCCTGAAATAACTAAATAAGGCTAAACTAACTAAAATAACCCTGTTCAGCCCAAACTGCTTAACATACAGACTCCATTCAACTACTTTCTAGATCATTTGGTGTATTATCTGTTTTTCGTGTTTGTTGAAACTTTAGATCAACTTCCCGATTTAAAAGCCTTAATTGATTGGTGCCATCTAACTGGCAGTGGCAACATCTATGTAATATTAGCCGCTTTTCATTTGATTTTCAGACTGATGTGCATGCCATTGTTGCATATCTGATGGCCTCTATGCCACTTCTCATGAAAATGTTGACCCATCATGATTTTGTTCCTCATTTTTTGTTTCGGTGCCATCAGTAAGCCCCAGAAATGTATTGCCACACTAAGTTAAGAAGTTATTTGACAAAAGACTAAAAACTCTTGTCCAGGCAGACTCCAAGAAGTGGGCTAACTGGCCATTTCCCTCAGTAAACAAACCACAAACCACATTTTCCGTGTGTGTCCACTGGTTTAGAAAATATTATTTAAAAGCTTCATGGTTTTGAGCTTGAAGGCAGTGATTGGCAGACAGGTTTGTTAGGCTGGCACAGTGAAAGGGGAACAGGTTTGTCTTGCACACTCAGTTGTCCCGGAGAGATTGTTTCCTGAGATGACACACTTGACTGAAGAGTTTGAGAGTGACAGATTTAAAATACTTTAAACAAATAACAGTTTTTTTCTGTATTTTACCCTTGCGATTTGACACTGGTCTTATAGACTGGTAAAAATGGAAATGCAGATTTCCACGGTTTCAAAATGAATGTGTTAATTTACTGTGAACAACTGACATCTACAGCCAAGACCTTTGTTATTATGACTATTTAATGATTTACTCATCTGCCACAGTGATATTTTAAAATGACCTTCATTTGGGACCTTGCAATATATCCTTTTATAGAATTGATTTAAAATGTAACTTATTTAATAAAATGTAAATAATTGACAACTCCAACATCAATGCACTTTGCTGGTTTTCTTTAGAAGCACAAAGCCCCAGGTCTTTGCTTTCCAAAACCTGACTAAGGACCGGTTTCACAAGTTCCAATTAATTATTTGCCATCACATTTTTTAAGGCTCCTTTTACAGTTTAAAGAACAGTCATATAATGTCTTAAACACAAAAAAACATCGTAATCGTGGTTCTTGTGCATCGATGAATGTATTACATTTTCAGACAAATTCAAATTTACTGTATGGTTTAAGACATTGTTTATAGTGATAAAGTGAACACTGTAAAAACTAGGTTAGCTGAACACTAGCTTAGTTTAAAAAAAAAAACAGCAGTTGCATTTGTCTTTTTCCATAGAAGTGTGTTAAGTTAATCTGATTGAGTCTTTTTGATGAGTGAACTTAACTTTTAGATGAAGTTAACAAGAAGTACGTAGGCTAGAATTAGCTTAAAACTATTTAAGTGCTTTTAGTTTGACAGTTGTAGAGTAAAAACTGTTTAAAGTCACAGTATGATTTCTATTCAGATCATACAATACAATATAATCCTTAGGCAGTTATACATATGAATTTGTATGCACAGGCAGTTCTCGTCTCCTGTATGTGAATGTACTTTTTCTCACACATCTCATCATCAGATTATTTGAAATGCATGTCAGAGCTCTGTACTTTCAGCACAGCAGTCATCTTCTGTCAGGACAGGATATATTTCTATTAAGACATTTGGTAATAGATTAGTTCCTCTATAAAGTCTAAACACAGTTGTTTCCTCCAACAGAGTTACGGCAAGTGAGTGTTTGCCTGTGGAACTACAGCTTAATGTGTCATCATGATTATTAAAAACTGAACTGCTACTGGAAGTGAGAATGTGGTAATTTGTTTCAAAATGTGTAGGTCACTGGTTAAAAACGAGTACTTAGGTGTTTAAACTAAATTAATCAGTTGAAAAGTGCTATTTTTCTTCTCTTTGTTTGAGGTGTTAGTGTGAATATAATGCTGTCCTGCTTCTAATGTGTCTCTGTTTTTCTTCATTATGCTGCCATGTCCTATAGATTGAGTTCTAGGTAACCGCTTTTGTTACAAAAAAGTATTTGTCTAATACTGTTTTAAATATTTGTGCATGCACTTGAAACATATCCTATGAATATATCCCGTAATTGTACTTGAGTGAGTGAGATCATGTTAGCATCTAATAACATGACTCCAAATCTCCCACTTCATTTCGAAATCCTCATCCTGTTTTCTGCCGCCCCTCAGATCTTCCAGGAGGATATGATGCGTTCCCTGCTGCAGAACTCTCTTCATGTGTTCAGTGCTATCAGTGGAACCTCCACTGACCTGAGCTAGAACCTGATGGACAATCAGCTCTCCTCGCACCTGAATGTACAAACCAAGATTCTAGGCCTTCAGCAAGCATCATGTTTTTACTTGTTGTGTAAATATTGCTTTTTACAGTTCATTTTAATGGCAGCATGAAGTCAAAATCGACCCTATTTACTTTCTTAATGCACATTCCTGGTCTTATCATGTTTGCATTGAGGTTCCTTTTAAGCTCGCATCACCAAGCCACCTTGTTTTTCAACACTTACTCTCTTACCGTTATGGAAACCTATTTCCACCACATAAGAAAAAATGTCATGGTTTCGTATATCATAATTATGACATAAAAGGTCAAAATTATAATATCTCATTATGATGATATAAAGTCAATTATGACATGAACTTGATATTCTGACATAAAAAGTCATTGTTATGAGATAAAAGTAAAAAATGGACTGAATTCAGTTAAGACGAAACTGACATAAAAAGTTGTAATTATGAAATAAAAAATCTAAATTATGACAGTCCTAATTTATGTGATAAATGTCATAAATTTCACGTTTTGGTCATAATTATGATTTTATCTCATAATTGTAACTTTTTATCTCATAATTATGTCTTGGTGTGTTGTAATTTGACCTTTCTTTTTGCATAAATATCATCTTTTCATATATCCAGTCACCTCTATATGACCACTTTTCATGATCCAATCAATTATTGATGTATAAATTCAAGTCCAGTATTTTTTTTTCTTGTATTCTTTATAAGTAAAATGAGTTACCAATGCTATTACATTTTGACTGTACATGTTCTCTGTTGTACAATCCATTTTGCATGTTAACCAAACTGTCTATTTTAAATTACAGGCATGCCACTGGAAATAAAACATGCAGTTTAATTGGATCACACAATACACCAAAGATCAAATGCACAGTTTATACTACATGCCTACATTTCCATATGAAATGACTTTTACATTGACAGTTTTATTTGCTGAAAATGGCAGGTGATCATAAAGCCTAAAACTGAATCACTGTATGGAATGATAAAATTCACAGTTGCAAAAATAGCATTACAATGATCACAACAGAGCGCAACAGTGAACGCCCACATTTTCAGAGGCGTTGATTCTGAAAGTATTTTTGCTATTCATTTTCTCTATAGACAGTATCTTCCGAAAAAAATAATAATAATTTATGCATTCAGCAAACGCTTTTATCCAAAGCGACTTGCAGTGCATTCAGGCTATACATTTTTTACCAGTATGTGTGTTCCCTGAATGAAAATGAAAATGAAAATGACTTGGTTATAAGATTCAAGATGAATCACTACGTTACAAACTTTCATTTGATTCCAAAAAAGTATATGGAAGGTACCTTTTTGTTTATTTCTATTATTTTTTCAACTCAAAAAACAATGGTACAATAAAAGTTTGACTTTTTTAATTATTTATACAAATATTGATTTTTTGACTTTTTTACTGAGCAAAATCATGATTGTAATATTCTTTTGTTGACTTTCCCCTTAATTCTGTTTGATGCTTGGTGCAAACTGCATGTGTAGTTTGGGAGAAACATGGTAGTCAGTTTAAGATGCCGGTCTTCCTACTGCCAGCTGGCGAAAAAAAGAATTTAAACTAGCTACTACTGTATGTGGTCAAATCACACCCTCCCTCTTCCCTATTTTCAGTAGTACACATCAGTGCGGTGCTTACTGACTGGCTGCACGTTTGTTAGACTGAACTAAGATCATTGCATAATTTCTGTCATGAAATTGAACAAAGCCATCTGGGGTTACAACAATGATATATAAATATGTATATGTAAAGCTTTTTAAAATGAATGCGTACCCCATGATGGTAGAGAACAGCTGACTTTATCATAAGGAATAATATAATGCAGAATGTAACAGCATATTGATATCCAGTTTAAGCTGATTTTTGTGATTCCCATTGTAAACATTTGTTTTTAGCTGGGCTGGTCCTTAGTAACTGCCCATGGATACAGCCAGTAGAGCCTATCAAGGGCTGATTTATGTTCAAAAATGCTGTTAATACTTATCAGACCTTGCTGCACTGAATATGCAAATAACAAAACAGAGGATATGTAGATTTATATAGGAAATTGTCCATTTGTTGTAAATGTATATGTGTGTGTGTGAGACTGAGTGTGTGTGTGTGTGCGCGACATACACATGTCAAACATACACAGTATTGATAAAGCAGTATTTGCAAGCAGTTGTCATCATTAAAATGTCTGCATTGTCTGGTCTAGTAATAAAGTCATCAGCAATGGACTCTGAATTTGCTATTAGGATAGTGTGAGACAAGCTGCCATTTCCGATGATTAGTTTCACAATTTCCTTCACGTTTTGTCAGCATATAATGTATGAATGTTGTTTTCCCCTCTGTGGTCTGTAATTCATAAGATAAAGTGAGTATTTCTAACGAAAATGTCTTTGGTGATGTTTATTCTCAGCTCTTTTGAAAAGCACTGTTTTCCCAAGACACGTACTGCTCTATTCTCCAAACGTGCACACAATTTGTGGGGAAATACTTAGAAAAAATGATAGATAAAATCTGTGACTTGTCTGTAAAACAGGTTTCAGACCTCATTTGATACTTTTCTCCCATGAGAATTTATCACCTCTGCATTAGAATCGTTAAATATGTATTTTTTAAATCCATATCCATATAATTTGGCTAAGGTGGCATTTTACACAATCCATTTTGTTGCCTGTGGGACACTGGAGATGATTACTATAATAATCTTACACTTGTGATATGTGTGTAAGGGTTTACTGTGAGTATCTGATCTGACCATAAAACTGGTTGTGGGAGCTTAACCGTTGACATGACTAATCCATCATGATACATGCTTCATATGTAAAAACACAAAAATCTAAAGACAAAATCATGCAATCTTAAAGGGATAGTTCACCCAAAAAAGAAGATTTGATGTTTATCTGCTTACCCCCAGGGCATCCAAGATGTAGGTGACTTTGTTTCTTCAATAGAACACATGATTTTTAACACAAACCGTTGCAGTCTATCAGTCGTATAATGCATGGCAATGGTAACAAAATCTATGAGAGTAAAAAAAACATGCACAGACAAATCCAAATTAAACCCTGTGGCTCGTGATGACACATTGATGTCCTAACACACGAAACGATTGGTTTGTGCCAGAAACCGAACAGTATTTATATAATTTTTTACCTCTAATACACCAGTATGTCCAACTGCTTTGAGCGCGCGCACGGCATCCGATACGTGAGGTGTGTACGCGCTCTGGCGTAGTTTACGCAAGTGATCTCTCGCGCGTATACGTCACTCATTGGTTACACAGTGCACAGTCATTGTAGGTACGACGGCTAATCAAAATGGTACTTACTTACGCTTATCCGGATTGTTCAAACCGACTTAAAACTAAAAGATTACGTTCTCTCGCGCGAACTCATTCGGGAGTGGTGACTTTCCACGTATTCCCAACTTCTGAGCCTGCTCGCCTGAAGTTATGGTTGATTGCTCTTCGGCTGGATATCAACACACCCATTAACGTAAACTACGCCAGAGCGCGTACACACCTCACGCACCGGATGCCGTGCGCGCGCACAAAGACAGTTGGACACAGTGGTGTATATATTTATATGATATAAATACTGTTCGGTTTCTGGCACAAACCAATCGTTTTGTGTCTTAGGACATCAATGTGTCGTCACGAGCCGCAGGGTTTAATTTGGATTTGTCTGTGCATGTTTTTTTTACTCTCATAGATTTTGTAACCATTGCTATGCATTATAAGACTGACAGACTGCAACGGTTAAAGTAAAAAATCATCATATGTGTTCTACTGAAGAAACAAAGTCACCTACATCTTGGAGGCCCTGGGGGTAAGCAGATAAACATCAAATATTCATTTTTGGGTGAACTATCCCTTTAAGTCAGCCTGGCTCCCCCTTAGCGAATTTGACTAAATATTTATTTATAAAGTTTTTTCCATGAAGTAAAAATGCATATCATGCAGTTAATAATACATGTAAAAGTTAATACATTTTAAATTGTTATTGTAAGTAAATTAATAAATCAAAAGAAACTTAACTCATTTGCGTAAGAATTGTCACGTGACGAATCGGCATTTTGGTGGATAATAGACTTAACGGTAATGCTTGCCTGTTGTGTGGAATAAAATGCGTTTTTAACAACATACACGAACTGCAGAGAAATCTGGAGACAACGAAAAACTCCGATGAAGATATTAATGCCGTGCTTCATGATTCCGGACCCGGACAATCAGATAAAGGTGATGCAGCCGGTTTAGCCGCACACTACTTTTATGCCCACATCCAAATGTTATTTAATTTTCACAGAACACAACCTCTAAATAGATTTTAGAATATAAACTGTTTATCGTCTATTCAAAGTGTGCGCCTCATTGCGCATTAACTAGAATCAAGCCCAACAAATGTCTGTTTTAAAAAACAGTGGATGAGTAATTCACTCCTTGATTGCTTAATAAAAGCCTGCTTTGAGATCGTCTTGACGGACATGTTTAGTGTGCATTTTAAACGTGTTTATTGCTAAGTTCAGTGCGGCAGAACAGAAGCGCAGCTGTAATTCGTGGGTACTGTATGTGGTTACCATGACAACCTCACGCACTTGCCACTGCTCTATGTGAATGTGTAGATTTACTGTAGCAAAACTAAAATGTGTTTAAGAGTACGTCTAAAGTTCCCCTTTAATCCACAGAGAGCATGTGAATGTGAGTGCGCACACTCCACCCACTGCAGTCTGACAGAGAGTCCAACAGGCTCCAGTCGCACTTTTGCTTTGAGCGCGAGGCTGACAGACGCGTCGAGTGTCCATTTAACTCTTGCCTTATTACGTCCAGCACGACTACGACCACTTAAAAAGAAAAGGTAAAATATCGCGTTTTGAGAATATCAACAGAGGATTAAGGGACTTCACTTTGGATTTTATTACGCGGAATATCCATCCGATAAAACCTTTGAAGAGGATGTTTCGAGTTTGGGATATCTCCCTAATGATATGCTTCTCTGTCTCACTCATGTTCGTCGGGGTTGAAGGCATATCAGGTGGGTTTACGGTTTTTATGTCTATGCGTGTTTTTTTTAGGAACGTGCTTCCCTGAAGTTTTCCTATGACAGCGCGTGCGGGATATCCTGTATAATTCCCGAAAGCTGTGACGTCAGAGACTTTCTCCTGAAGACCCGCCAGTGTGTTGCGACTAAACCTGCTTCTTGTCTCGACTTGCTCCCTGTAGTAGGCTAGTTTCTTACTACTACAAACAAAGGACAGAATGTCACTACCGCTACTACTGTTACTTTCTTTTTGAACGTTGTTTCTTCTTCATAACAGTGTGCCACTCCTCTTGTACCCCACAGAGCTCCCTCCACCAAGGAACCTGACTTTCAAATGGGAGACACCTTTCACTCTTAATTTAACATGGGAAAAGCCAAAGGATCTTGACCCTGATTGCAAAGTCAACTACACGGTGGACGTGCGCCACTCTCAGGTGAGTCACCTCAACATTTGAATGGACTGCATTTGCTGGGAAACTACAGTAGAAAGTCTGTGAACTCATAAAAATGTTTTATATTTCTACATGTGTTTTTAACGATGCTGTGATCGGATCCTATCGAGGGCTTTGAGATCTGTTCTTTTTTAAATATGATTAATTATGGAATAAATATGTGGTTCTTTGGGATCCGTTTTATGATCCATTCCAGGGCTAAGTTTGAGGGAGTTCCTGCACTGTTGGCAGAACATAAACCTGGGTGTTCTCAATCAAAGTCTGTTCCTCGCTACATTTTGTGGGTTTAAGATCCAACAGTCTACTGTATAGCTGGACTATCCAAAAAAACAATCCCTCAAAGATTAATATGCTTGCTCGTCTGGAGGATATGCTGTACAGTAAGTCTACTATATTAAATAGTTAAATCAGAAATGAATTTGAACTTCCAAAGTCAAATTCCCAAACTTCAATCCCAAAAACGTCCTGAGGTCCATAGGTCCCGAGGAGAGCAATCCCAGCAAAACAAGACCACCGATGTAGCTATTTAAGCAATGTTTAAGGAGGATCGGGCCAAAATTTCTCCAAGCTAATGTGCAGAAATGATCTACACTTCCTGGAAATGTTCGGTTGTTGTTATTGCTGCGCATCTGATGCGTCACTCCGGATACTGAAGGCGAAAGTTCACGTTTTATTTATTGATTGATTTTCCCAGCAGATATTTCAAGGGTTTAAAACTTTCTAATGCAGATGCATTTTCCTAACTTCAAAATAGCTTGGGACAGAACCCAAGAGGACAAGAGGAGACAAGTCTTTAAGGACTAGGTTATCATGTTCAGTTAGGATTTATGCAAGCAGCTGGTCTTTAGTGACATTTTTGCCTTCTCGATTCAAATAGCCCTGTAGTTTTACAGATAAGCATTTAAAAAGTACTAATATTCCATGTGCACTCTAAATTAATGTTATGTTAATAAAACCAAATGCATACTTGGAATAAAATAAATGCTGTTTAAAATATATTTTCTCTATGTATGCTGTCATATAATGGTGAATAACAGTAACAATAATACAATTTAAAAAATGGTTTTGTTGTCCCATATTTTTAACTCAGTTTTATGAAAATATGAGTCAAACCAGACCATAGTATAAATGACCCTGGCACACTTTTTGTAGTACAGGGAGCATTGTTTTTCTCTGTAGTCATGCCATTAACCAGGTCTGAGAAGCCCTGAACAAACACTGAACTGGAGTTTATCATGTGTTTTCGTCCATCTGAAGTCAGCGAAACAAAACTAGGTCAGTTGGACATTTTCGTTCACTGATACTTTATTGCCGCAGCTCTTACCCACATAAGCCAAAGTCAAAGTCTACCTTGGGTTTGTTGTTTTCTCATCACTTGTTTAGTTTCATTTATGTGTGTACTTATCTCTCTTTTCCCTTTTCCCTTTTCCATTTAAACAGCATTTCAGACAGGACCACTTTGGCAAGTTACTTGAGTTTATTGAAACACAATTTATCTTTGGCGGTATGGTTCCTATGGGGGTTCTTTGCTCCAGAATAAATTGAACATACAAGAGCTTTAACATTAACTCCCCAACATAATAAGAGGTATTAACTTGCCCGAAGAAGAACCCCCCAAAACCATCCTTGTTCCATTCCTGCAAAAGAGAAAAGACAATGTTATGAGATATTCTTGATGTAGCTTACTGGCTAGCAGAGGGGTATTCTCCCCTCTAAATAGGGAGAGAATAGCAGGCCCCTCTTTGATTTTAAGTAGCGAGGGGTGTTCGTCCCTCGCTGAGGGATAGAACAGCAGGCCCCTGCAGTTATAGCAGCAAAGGGTGTTCTCTCCAGCGGGAGAAAACAGCAGTCCCCTTTTTTAAAAAAAATTTTTTTTTCTCCTTTCTTTGCGAAGCTTTGCGAGGGACTGACGGCTGACCCCAAATATGCAGCAGTGGTGTTCTCTCCAGCGGGAGAAACAAGTCGCTATTTCAGACAGGACCACTTTGGCAAGTTACTTGAGTTTATTGAAACACAATTTATCTTTGGCGGTATGGTTCCTATGGGGGTTCTTTGCTCCAGAATAAATTGAACATACAAGAGCTTTAACATTAACTCCCCAACATAATAAGAGGTATTAACTTGCCCGAAGAAGAACCCCCCAAAACCATCCTTGTTCCATTCCTGCAAAAGAGAAAAGACAATGTTATGAGATATTCTTGATGTAGCTTACTGGCTAGCAGAGGGGTATTCTCCCCTCTAAATAGGGAGAGAATAGCAGGCCCCTCTTTGATTTTAAGTAGCGAGGGGTGTTCGTCCCTCGCTGAGGGATAGAACAGCAGGCCCCTGCAGTTATAGCAGCAAAGGGTGTTCTCTCCAGCGGGAGAAAACAGCAGTCCCCTTTTTTAAAAAAAATTTTTTTTTCTCCTTTCTTTGCGAAGCTTTGCGAGGGACTGACGGCTGACCCCAAATATGCAGCAGTGGTGTTCTCTCCAGCGGGAGAAACAAGTCGCTGGCGTATATTTGTAGCAATAGCCAATAATACATTGTATGGGTCAAAATTATCGATTTTTCTTTTATTCCAAGCAGCCCCCCCTTTTTTATTTTTTTCTTTCTTTGCGAAGCTTTGCGAGGGACTGACAGCTGACCCCAAATATGGAGCAGTCGTGTTCTCTCCAGCGGGAGAACCACAAGAACAAAGCAGCATGTCCCTGAGGCTGGCATGAGGGGTAGGAGAGCAGCGTGCCCCTTATGGTATCGTGATGCAGAGTTGTTGTTTTTTTTTTTTTTTAATGGAAGAGCTGCTCAAGTTTTTTGCGCTAGTATTACATCCTGAGTTGAAGGCCTAATGTATCGTTGATAAGCTGATGATGACCACCGACCCATGCTTTGAGCATGGGTATGGAGACTGTTGAAGCCGCGGTGGTTGCCGTGCCTATACGGAATGAATGGCTGGTATAAGCGCGGGGTCCATGCCACAATGGGGGCATGCGGTTCGGAGACGTGAGGCCAACCAATGCTTGGACATAGCTTCTCCTGGCGTCGAAGCGCTAGTGTCGTGAGTTGAAGCAGTCTTAGGGCAGAGAGATGCGGTGTGGAAAAACGAACCGCAGGGTGAGCATGAAAGTGCTCGGTGGCCCGTATAAGGTGTCTGCTGATTAGTGCAAGATCGACCACGGACCAGTCCAGACGCTGATTAAGCGTTGAATGTACGTTGCTGCTTTAGATGAAAATTATTTGTGGTATTCGTAGACTAGTGTGCCTCCGTAGACATAGCGAGATCTGAAATGATAGCTAGATCGGTATCTAATTCCTTCTCCTGTCTGGATACACTTCGTGGATAATATCTCTGAACACGCTGAAAGCATGGGGAAGAAGGGCACCCCTAGGAAGAGCCAGTCGGGAGTAGGGGCGCAGTATGATGTCGAGCTTAAAAGTCTGCCCGTCAAACATCGCCCGAGATGCAGAAACCGAGTGCTGCAATTCCAGTGCCTGGATCCTGTTGTTCATGTTGGAGAGGTTCCTTGGATTGACAGCGGCACTAAGAGAACCCTGTCGTCTCCCTGTTGTGCTGGAGCTTGTTGCGAGCAGTTTGAGCATACTTACCGAGCAGTAATGCCACGTATATATGTCCCGTGTCTAATAGGAGAATGGTAGTGATTGGAGCAATTTGACAGCTGACCGTGTCAGCTGGTCGCAGCCTATGCCTACGTGGCCTGACTGAACTAACGCTGCGCTCGATTTCTTCATGTGTTCCCCATTGAGTGTTATAGTACAGGAGATGAAGTAGACATAACGATTTTCTTAATCTACTTAGTCTAACAATACAACTAAGTACTAATATAAACATTTAATTTACTTTTAAGAACACTGCGCCTGTCATTGTTTAAATTCTGTAGTGGCTGCTGCTGAAAGCTGGTAGTACGACAGATAAAACACACTGTGTACTTCCTTTCAAAGCTCTGTTTTCATGAACTCTTGGGATGATGTTCACACAAAGTAAACGAACTGTAATGGAAATGTGTGCATGTTGGAGCAATTACAAAAAATGCAAATTGAGGTTACAAAGCTTTTATCTGATATGTGTTTTAGGTTCTTATGACACGCATTTGATGAAACTGATTGTGTTCAAATACTTCTATACATGTTACACATTAATTACAAACAGATAATCTGATTTGGATGATCTTTGGTTGATTTGATTGGTACCTGTGGTATTTTGGGGAATTTCAGAGTTAAACATAGTACTTCTGAAAAGTCACTTCCGTCTAGAAGAACCAGTCGGGTTAGCAAACAGCATGGCCAGTTGTACTGACATCATGAAGTTTGACACAGGCTGTATTTAATTAAAAAAAAACTGTTAATAAGACCAGTTATTTAATATGACATTGATTTAAGTCATATCATTAGATTAGACCAGCTCTTAAGTCTAAGACCCTCATCATACATTAGGCACAATAAGAAGGTTTGGTAAAGTGAGAGGAAAGAGGAAACAAAGCAACTTCTGGAACGCTGTTGTTTGGATTCTTAGCAACTTAGCAACTTTATTTGTGATTGTGTTTGTGTGTTCGAAATTTTAAAATAATATGGAACAAAATATTAGTTACAATATTTAAGTTTGAAACTACTACCGGTATATATATAGATTAAACCTATATATACTGTATTCCCTACGTTATGGGAACCAAATGTCCCCACAAGGAAAGTACATTTTGACATTGTGGGGACTTTTTTTGGTCCCCATAAGGAACTTTTAAATTTAACAGAATCTAAAAATGCAGAAAGGTTTAGGGGTAGGATTTGGGTAAGGGAATAGAAAATGCAGTTTGTACATTATAAAAACCAATACCCCTGTTGAGAGTCCCCATAAAACATGGAAACCAGTGTGTGTGCATGTGTGCGTGCGTGTGTGTGGAGAAATATCTTTATATAGTGAAAGACATTAAAAATGCAAAAGAGATTAAAAATGCAAATTCATTTGTGTGGTTTGTCTAACAACATGATACTTTACTTAGGCTCTTGTGTAGTTTCCTTTTGGAGCTGGTCTGTTGACCTGCAGGCACTGCTTGTTCAACAACTGCTTGCTTTGCACTATAATTCAATTTTTGCACAAAAAATGCCTAAAATATATTAAAATATTTTACGTCTTTTTGTCTAGTAAAGAGAATGTTTTTTTGTTTGTTTGTATTTTTACATTATTTTTGATTGTTTTATCATCTTGAAAAGCTGTAACATCTTGGGAAAATATTCTGGAAAGGAATAATGGGAGGTATTCGTTAGAAACAAGTGACTCATTCTTACTCAGTATGGAGTAATGTGCGCACACACACACACACACACACACACACACACAGTAACACAAAATGAACACAAGTACTGTACACTGTATTTTACATGAAAACCCTCTGTCGTCAACAGGACTGTCCTGTAAAAGCCAAACCAGACATGCAAAGAGACAAAAATAGCCAAATCAGGAGAGTCCAAAACACGACCTGCAAATTGAATATCTCCAATGAGAATGGACTGTGCATCAGTGTTACAGTGAACCCTGAAAACTGTGAAAACAAAGACCATAGTCCATCTTTGGACATTAGCATCCCTCCACCTACAGGTACCCTGCATGATAACCAACTATCTCATGTTAAATGCTTTTTGGTACTTTGTACATTTTTAATCATTCCATATTGATCTTAAGTCATGGAGCTATGTTTATTTTATTACGTGTTATGGTATTATTGGATACAGAACAAACAATCCTTTGATGCATTTTACTTAAGAAGAAAGTCATAAGATGAACAGTTTATATTATTTAATTTCAGACAGGACCACTTTGGCAAGTTACTTGAGTTTATTGAAACACAATTTATCTTTGGCGGTATGGTTCCTATGGGGGTTCTTTGCTCCAGAATAAATTGAACATACAAGAGCTTTAACATTAACTCCCCAACATAATAAGAGGTATTAACTTGCCCGAAGAAGAACCCCCCAAAACCATCCTTGTTCCATTCCTGCAAAAGAGAAAAGACAATGTTATGAGATATTCTTGATGTAGCTTACTGGCTAGCAGAGGGGTATTCTCCCCTCTAAATAGGGAGAGAATAGCAGGCCCCTCTTTGATTTTAAGTAGCGAGGGGTGTTCGTCCCTCGCTGAGGGATAGAACAGCAGGCCCCTGCAGTTATAGCAGCAAAGGGTGTTCTCTCCAGCGGGAGAAAACAGCAGTCCCCTTTTTTAAAAAAAATTTTTTTTTCTCCTTTCTTTGCGAAGCTTTGCGAGGGACTGACGGCTGACCCCAAATATGCAGCAGTGGTGTTCTCTCCAGCGGGAGAAACAAGTCGCTGGCGTATATTTGTAGCAATAGCCAATAATACATTGTATGGGTCAAAATTATCGATTTTTCTTTTATTCCAAGCAGCCCCCCCTTTTTTATTTTTTTCTTTCTTTGCGAAGCTTTGCGAGGGACTGACAGCTGACCCCAAATATGGAGCAGTCGTGTTCTCTCCAGCGGGAGAACCACAAGAACAAAGCAGCATGTCCCTGAGGCTGGCATGAGGGGTAGGAGAGCAGCGTGCCCCTTATGGTATCGTGATGCAGAGTTGTTGTTTTTTTTTTTTTTAATGGAAGAGCTGCTCAAGTTTTTTGCGCTAGTATTACATCCTGAGTTGAAGGCCTAATGTATCGTTGATACGCTGATGGTGACCACCAACCCATGCTTTGAGCATGGGTATGGAGACTGTTGAAGCCGCGGTGGTTGCCGTGCCTATACGGAATGAATGGCTGGTATAAGCGCGGGGTCCATGCCACAATGGGGGCATGCGGTTCGGAGACGTGAGGCCAACCAATGCTTGGACATAGCTTCTCCTGGCGTCGAAGCGCTAGTGTCGTGAGTTGAAGCAGTCTTAGGGCAGAGAGATGCGGTGTGGAAAAACGAACCGCAGGGTGAGCATGAAAGTGCTCGGTGGCCCGTATAAGGTGTCTGCTGATTAGTGCAAGATCGACCACGGACCAGTCCAGACGCTGATTAAGCGTTGAATGTACGTTGCTGCTTTAGATGAAAATTATTTGTGGTATTCGTAGACTAGTGTGCCTCCGTAGACATAGCGAGATCTGAAATGATAGCTAGATCGGTATCTAATTCCTTCTCCTGTCTGGATACACTTCGTGGATAATATCTCTGAACACGCTGAAAGCATGGGGAAGAAGGGCACCCCTAGGAAGAGCCAGTCGGGAGTAGGGGCGCAGTATGATGTCGAGCTTAAAAGTCTGCCCGTCAAACATCGCCCGAGATGCAGAAACCGAGTGCTGCAATTCCAGTGCCTGGATCCTGTTGTTCATGTTGGAGAGGTTCCTTGGATTGACAGCGGCACTAAGAGAACCCTGTCGTCTCCCTGTTGTGCTGGAGCTTGTTGCGAGCAGTTTGAGCATACTTACCGAGCAGTAATGCCACGTATATATGTCCCGTGTCTAATAGGAGAATGGTAGTGATTGGATCCTGTTGTTCATGTTGGAGAGGTTCCTTGGATTGACAGCGGCACTAAGAGAACCCTGTCGTCTCCCTGTTGTGCTGGAGCTTGTTGCGAGCAGTTTGAGCATACTTACCGAGCAGTAATGCCACGTATATATGTCCCGTGTCTAATAGGAGAATGGTAGTGATTGGAGTGATTTGACAGCTGACCGTGTCAGCTGGTCGCAGCCTATGCCTACGTGGCCTGACTGAACTAACGCTGCGCTCGATTTCTTCATGTGTTCCCCATTGAGTGTTATAGTACAGGAGATGAAGTAGACATAACGATTTTCTTAATCTACTTAGTCTAACAATACAACTAAGTACTAATATAAACATTTAATTTACTTTTAAGAACACTGCGCCTGTCATTGTTTAAATTCTGTAGTGGCTGCTGCTGAAAGCTGGTAGTACGACAGATAAAACACACTGTGTACTTCCTTTCAAAGCTCTGTTTTCATGAACTCTTGGGATGATGTTCACACAAAGTAAACGAACTGTAATGGAAATGTGTGCATGTTGGAGCAATTACAAAAAATGCAAATTGAGGTTACAAAGCTTTTATCTGATATGTGTTTTAGGTTCTTATGACACGCATTTGATGAAACTGATTGTGTTCAAATACTTCTATACATGTTACACATTAATTACAAACAGATAATCTGATTTGGATGATCTTTGGTTGATTTGATTGGTACCTGTGGTATTTTGGGGAATTTCAGAGTTAAACATAGTACTTCTGAAAAGTCACTTCCGTCTAGAAGAACCAGTCGGGTTAGCAAACAGCATGGCCAGTTGTACTGACATCATGAAGTTTGACACAGGCTGTATTTAATTAAAAAAAAACTGTTAATAAGACCAGTTATTTAATATGACATTGATTTAAGTCATATCATTAGATTAGACCAGCTCTTAAGTCTAAGACCCTCATCATACATTAGGCACAATAAGAAGGTTTGGTAAAGTGAGAGGAAAGAGGAAACAAAGCAACTTCTGGAACGCTGTTGTTTGGATTCTTAGCAACTTAGCAACTTTATTTGTGATTGTGTTTGTGTGTTCGAAATTTTAAAATAATATGGAACAAAATATTAGTTACAATATTTAAGTTTGAAACTACTACCGGTATATATATAGATTAAACCTATATATACTGTATTCCCTACGTTATGGGAACCAAATGTCCCCACAAGGAAAGTACATTTTGACATTGTGGGGACTTTTTTTGGTCCCCATAAGGAACTTTTAAATTTAACAGAATCTAAAAATGCAGAAAGGTTTAGGGGTAGGATTTGGGTAAGGGAATAGAAAATGCAGTTTGTACATTATAAAAACCAATACCCCTGTTGAGAGTCCCCATAAAACATGGAAACCAGTGTGTGTGCATGTGTGCGTGCGTGTGTGTGGAGAAATATCTTTATATAGTGAAAGACATTAAAAATGCAAAAGAGATTAAAAATGCAAATTCATTTGTGTGGTTTGTCTAACAACATGATACTTTACTTAGGCTCTTGTGTAGTTTCCTTTTGGAGCTGGTCTGTTGACCTGCAGGCACTGCTTGTTCAACAACTGCTTGCTTTGCACTATAATTCAATTTTTGCACAAAAAATGCCTAAAATATATTAAAATATTTTACGTCTTTTTGTCTAGTAAAGAGAATGTTTTTTTGTTTGTTTGTATTTTTACATTATTTTTGATTGTTTTATCATCTTGAAAAGCTGTAACATCTTGGGAAAATATTCTGGAAAGGAATAATGGGAGGTATTCGTTAGAAACAAGTGACTCATTCTTACTCAGTATGGAGTAATGTGCGCACACACACACACACACACACACACACACAGTAACACAAAATGAACACAAGTACTGTACACTGTATTTTACATGAAAACCCTCTGTCGTCAACAGGACTGTCCTGTAAAAGCCAAACCAGACATGCAAAGAGACAAAAATAGCCAAATCAGGAGAGTCCAAAACACGACCTGCAAATTGAATATCTCCAATGAGAATGGACTGTGCATCAGTGTTACAGTGAACCCTGAAAACTGTGAAAACAAAGACCATAGTCCATCTTTGGACATTAGCATCCCTCCACCTACAGGTACCCTGCATGATAACCAACTATCTCATGTTAAATGCTTTTTGGTACTTTGTACATTTTTAATCATTCCATATTGATCTTAAGTCATGGAGCTATGTTTATTTTATTACGTGTTATGGTATTATTGGATACAGAACAAACAATCCTTTGATGCATTTTACTTAAGAAGAAAGTCATAAGATGAACAGTTTATATTATTTAACACAATTCGTTTTTAAGAGCTGCAGGTTTGCAATAGAGTTTTTAGCTTATCCATCCTGCAATAATAGCCTATTTTAAAAGTCTGCATTACATTGGGAGAGCATCACAAAACATTCGTCTCTGAAATGTGCTAAACAAACAAATTGGCACATTCACACTGAATCTATGGTATCTTTTTTGTTGTTGTTGTCTTTAAATGTCTAATACAAACCCAATCATAGTACTAATATACTAATAATAGTACTAATATTCACTGTTAAAGATACAGTGGGTACGGAAAGTATTCAGACCCCCTTAAATTTTTCACTCTTTGTTATATTGCAGCCATTTGCTAAAATCATTTAAGTTCATTTTTTTTCCTCATTAATGTACACACAGTACCCCATATTGACAGAAAAACACAGAATTGTTGACATTTTTGCAGATTTATTAAAAAAGAAAAACTGAAATATCACATGGTCCTAAGTATTCAGACCCTTTGCTGTGACACTCATATATTTAACTTATATATATATATATATATATATATATATATATATATATATATACATATATATATATATATATATATATATAAAAAAACATTGTTCGGTCACTAATATGCAGAGTAGCAGCTTGCTTTTATATATTTTTGGGAATAATAGCATCTTTCCTGCTTTTCTCTTGTTGCCTCACCGTAACTGAATCAATGCCATACATACATTGACATGTAAATGTGGGTGTTCATGAATGTGTTCTGAATGTTCCAGTGAGTTTTCATAGCCCATCAAGTCTTAAAGAATAAACCACTGATTTTCATAGTCAAGGAACTCAAGCATTAAGATTCACTTCTTACATAATCCACACATTAATTTAATATTCATGAATTCATATAATTTTAAAAGTCTTGGGGACTGATTTGAAATCTCCACATTTATTTCAGTGATGCTGGTGAAAAACAGGAGCTATGAGTATTCCCATAACAGGTTGAAGTGCACTTGGAGTCCTATTGACGTAGTCCAAGACCTTGGTTTTTATTACTGGTATGTAACTCTTTTTCTTACAATTGTTTTGTATATTTCCTTTCATTCATGCATTGGTAGTTAACCTGTGTGTTTCAGGTCACCTCAGAAAGATACGGTCATAAAGTGCAATGATATGAAGATTGGAGAATGCGTCATACACGATACACTTCTCAAGGACATAACGACAAGCATGTTCTACCTGTTCAATGGCACTTATCAGGGTAAACCTGTAAACAACACTTTCATGGATGAACGGCCAGCACAATACGGTAAACATGCACTTTTTTAAAAACATGCCCAGAAAGGCAGTTAAACAGCCAGTTTTCTTAAATACAGCATGTTGCATTGTCATTTTCACAACAGCAAATTATTTAAGAAAAAAATATAGTTGATTACGTTAACATATTAAACACTATATCTGCAAGAGCTGAGAGAAAATTAGCTACATTTTTCACATTTTCTACTCTCTGTTTGTTTCACTAATTAACAGTGTCTTTTTTGGGGCTTCCTTTGCAGTGAAACTAAACAAACCTCAACTTACGATCCAGAGAGATGGGCAGAATCTCCATTTTCAAACAAACATATCAGATTTAGATGAGTTTGGACCTCAGTGCTACAAATACAACTACACATACAGCATGTGCGATAAGGTAAATCAGGTGTGTTTTTATATGTAATAGTATAAGATCAGGTTATCTTTATTCACTATTAAGCATTAGCAGTCTCACTAAAGCTTTAAAGGGGTCATATGATGCGATTTCAAGTTTTCCTTTCTCTTTGGAGTGTTATAAGCTGTTCGTGCATAGATAAGATCCCTAAAGTTGCAAAGACTAAAGTCTCAAAACCAAAGAGATATTCTTTATCAAAGTTAAGACTCTGCCACGCCCCCCTAAAATGGCTCGTTCTAACACGCCCCCACATATCTACCTCACTATGTGGAAATATTTGCATAATGCCGCCCAAATGTGCACGCAAAGAAAGAAGGCGTGGTTTCAGTAACCGCAGTTAGTGTTGAAGCAGCATGTCAGGGAGACGCTGTGTGTTTCTAGGCGAAAGCAAAAGCACTTTATTTGGCCTTCCGAAAGTAGATGCATTTAGGAATCTTTAAGATTACTTACAATAGAACAGCAATGCATTTTATGGACGACCGTTTCGTGAACCTAGGAGAGGAGGTAATTCTGACTTTGCTATGACAATCTGGCGCTTCTGAATCAGCTACAGTTTTGTTATTAGTTTAAGTATTTGCTATTGACTGTTCAAATGCAGAGTTTTGAGAATCGTGTGTGTGTGCGAGCGAGCGAGAGAGAGAGAGCGAGCGAGCGAGACACATCACAGTGGAGTCAGCTGTCTTAACCGTGGCTTGTGAACTGCAAACACATATTCATCACTGTGTCTGTCACGAGACTCTGTTCCCCTTTCGGGCTTGAACTGATGGTAAAACTAATTACATTATTTACTGTCTTTACATTTATTTTGAAAGATGAAGCTCACGATTATGGTAAGGGGTGTTACATTTCCGACGAGTGCTTGAGGGGTTCGGCCAATCACAATGCACTGGGTCAGCTGGCCAATCAGAGCAGACTGTGCTTGTCGGAAGGAGGGACTTTGTAGAAAACGAAGTGTTTGAGAGAGGCGGGGCATAGAGGACTTACAATAATGTACAGTATTTGAAAAATAATGTGTTTTTTGAACATTAAAGCATGTCAACATATTCTGTTACACCAAATAATGATCTTTAAAAAAGCATCATATGACCCCTTTAAATGCACATATAACTGCCCTCTTTTGATGTTTAAGAGTAAAGAGTAAATAATTGTTTAAAATTTAAATAATGCAATATGTATCAACACACATTTAAAGCATTGCCTTGGCAGAGCTATTATTGGGCCATGGAGTGTAGCGCATAATGTCGTGTTAAACAAGACTCATATTCTATGATTTTCTGATCCTATATTTTTCTGTTGTGTTTACAGATTGCGCCAGGAAAGGTCATAGAAGATAGCAAGTATGAAGTGGACTATGACTCAGACTGCATGTACAGAGCCAGAGTCCAGATCATCTTCTCAGACAAATGTGGTGCAGGGAAGAGTGACCTGAGTGACGAGGTGGAATACGGTATGTCTGGGCCTAGAAATCAGCATCATATTCAACTATGATAATCACTATTTGTTTAGATTGTTAAACTTTATGGATAATCCTCATAGTAATAGGAAGCCTGCAACAAGGGTAAAACAGTAAAAATAAAAAGGCATGCAGGACAATTTTAATGTAAACTGTACTGTATATAACAAAGAAAAATGTCAGTTTTAATAAATAAAACGGCTCCTGAACTGCCACAACCTGAAGAAACACCCTAAAATATTAAACTTTACCATTAGACTTTACTTAGATTTTTATAATGATAATCCACTTCATTTACATTAAGTTTGGGGTCAGCAAGATTTTATTCTCATAAAGTCTACATTTATTTGATAAAAAGAACAGTAAAACAATTATATTTTAAATATTAAGAAAAATATAAATGTAAAATTTAAAGTAACTGTTTTATATTTTGATATGTAATTTTCAGCATCATTACTCCAGTCTTCAGTGTCACATGATCCTTCAGAAATCAGTATAATATGCTGATTTGCTGCTCAATAAATATTTCTTATCAGTGTTGATGTCTTTTTGTGGAAACTGTGATTTTTTAAAGATTCTTTAATAAATTGGAAGTTCAAAAGAGCATTTATTCTAAATATAAATTATTATTTTTTTTTTTAGATTTATTTTTGGCGTTTTATGCCTTTTATTTAGATATGACAGTAGGTCGACAGCAAGCGAAGTGGGTGAGAGAGAGAGGGGGGTGGGATTGGGAAAGGTCCACGAGCCGGGATACTAACTCGGGACGCCCGAAGCGCAAAGGCGCTACATGTCGGCGCGCTGCCCATGAGGCCATCTGCGCCGACGAAATATAAATTATTTCCAAAAAAAAATTTTTTATTCTTGCTGAGCCTAAACTTTTGATTGGTAGTTTATGTACAGTTACTTGCTTCACATCCTGCAAATGACATATGCTTTCCTCTGGTCTTTGACAGTTGAACTTAAATGTTTTCATTGTGCTGTTTCGTAGGTGAGAACAGAGATCCGAATTTGCCTGCATTGCTGGCTGTCATTATTATCCCGCTCATAGTTTCCTGTTGCCTGATAGTGTCTCTTGTGCTGCTCAGAAGGTGATGAATGATTTAGATTTTAATTGTTCTGCTCTTCTATTTGAAAAGAACAAATGTGAAACAATATTATTGCATCATCATGTTTTATATATTACGTATAGGTTATTGTATATTTTTAAGATTTCTTTATATCTTATTTGTATGTCCTGTGAATCACAGATACTATTGAACCTGATCAGTTTTTAGTTAAAAGTTAAAAATGGGCAAATCTTAAGTACTTTAAATACATAACTGAAAATTGCTTGTCTTCCTTCAGGCATAAAGACATCATATTCCCAAAAATCCCAGAGCCAACGCTTATCTTTAAGGACATGCTCATCAACAACATTAGAATACCAGAGAATCCACGGGTAAATTGTGCAGCCAATTATCATTTATTAGTTTCACAATCAGAAAACTTTCAGATTCACACATTCCCCCATTAAAAAAAATCTGTAATTAATATTCTTGATTCAATCTCTTTCACCATCAGAGTCCTACAGATGGCAGACTGTATGTCCCTATTGAAGAAATCGTAGAAAGCAAGATAAGTCTTGAACCTGAGATACCACTTGTACCAATCACAACAAATGCGAGGCACAAGCAGGTATAAAAATTTCTGATGACTGAAAATCTCCAGTACATCAGGAAGTTTCTCAGGGTGAACTTAAAACTTACACTGACGGGGAAATGTCTATGCAAGGATGAGGATTAAACTCCTGTTGTCTGTTTAATCTGTTGATGAATAATGAACTCGGGCTCCACCTACATTTTTTGAATGGACTTCAACCTCACATATTACAGTTGCCAGTAAATTGCTCTTCTTGGCACGACAGTGGCTTGTTTTCATTGAATGTATTGTGAAGATAAGAAAAGCAATCAACAGACTTTCCTGGGGCAGGTTGGTTGGCTCTGATGATCTGGTATGTGAAGCTCGCATGTGAGGCCAGCGGACGTCATAAGCAGCTTCATGCAGCTTGATAGAGGAACACTGCAAAAAGGTTCAAGTGGAAATTGTGACCTTTGATCTCTTGCACACATTACTGAACTTTTCTATGCTTGTTTATACAGCCGCATTTATGGACTCGTGGGTGTTCTTGCACATAGTTTACAAACTAAATGTACTGCTACAATTGTAAAAAAAAGAAAAAAAAAAGAAAAAAAACTTTAAAGAAATTAGGTTTTCTATACACTGTGAATTGTTACATGTATTAAAGTGTGGTTTACTGTATACCAAAAAGAAAAATGTTCTTGACTCTAAATATGTATATTATGTTCACATTTTTGACTAACAAATGGATATAGAGAAAATAATGGATATAGAATGTCACATGACAAATATTCAGACATTAAAAAAATACAATTATATATATTTGTATAAATTGTATATAAAAATGAAATATATACCTTAAAAGTAAAAATTGTATTTATTTTCATACTTTCTGTTTCATGTCAAGTTTAAGTAAACAGTATTTTCCTGTAATTAAATTGTTTGCATAACTGGCTGTTTAGAGTTGGATCATTTAATTATTCTACGAAATAAAAAATAAATAAATGTGGTCACAGTATATTTTAAGGTCCAATTCTCGCTATTAGCAAACCATCAACTACGACTTTTCCTCAAACTCCTAATTTGCTGCTTATTAATAGGTGCATTCTAATAAGCAACTAGTTAATAGTGAGAATTGGTCCCTAGAAAGTGTTACCAAATATTTGTTTGTTGTCAGAAAAGGAAAGACTAAAAAAGAAAAAATACATTTCACAATAATATTATGGTTTTACAGTAAAAAACAGTGGTAGGTCCAATAGTAACTACCGTTTTTGTGGACTACGCGTTGCCCGCTCTGGTTTTCTCTGGGTCTGGACGCTCTGGCCCCACGAGTGGCCCAGGACCAGTCTCTATGCTTTTCGACCGTAATATGTTGTATTAAGTCTTATAATTTGTACACTGCTTGTTTAATCTATAAGTTTGCATAATTACTTGGAACAACTTGTTCTTTACATCTAAAGGAAAGGGGATGTAGTGATAGAATGTTTTTGTATTTGACAGTACTAAAACTAACCACTAGGTGTCAGTAGTGTTACACTTACCGGGAGTGTGTATATTAGGAAGCAGAAGTTAAGTAGTGCTGCGGCTGCTCCGATTCCCGTCCTGCAAATAGAATAAAAATCAATTTATTACAAAATTGTTTCTTTATTGGATCAAGAAACATTACAGTGCTGGAGCTTCTTCAGAGTCGTTTTTCTGAAGGGGTGGCTCCTGCCACTTTTAAGGTTTATGTGGCAGTCATATCTGCTGAGCACGTACCCATGGGGGGTGTTTCAGTTGGTCGTCATCCTCTGGTCTCCCGTTTCATGCAAGGTTTGAGATGGCTTAGGACTTTCCACCCTGTACGAGTCCCTTCTTGGGACTTATCTATTGTTTTGGAAGGCCTGTCAAGCCATCCATTGGAGCTGTTGGAGTTTGTGTCAGAGAAACTGTTAACACTTAAGACAGTTCTTCTGGTGGTGTTATCCTCCCTGAAGAGAGAGTATAGGGGATCTGCAGGCTCTTTCCATCAGCCCTTTGTGTATGGATTTTGCCCCTGGTCTGGTTAAAGTCTTACTACGACCCAGGCCAGATTATGTTCCTATGGTCGCTTCGACTCCGTTTCGCTTTCATCTAGTGGTCTTGGAGGCTTTCTCCCCTGCTGATGTAGAGTCAGATAGCCCGAGTCTCTGCCCGGTGAGGGCATTGAAGGTCTATGTCGACCACACAGCCCAGTGGCGTGAATCAGACCAGTTGTTCGTGTGTTTTGGTGGTAAAAGCAGAGGGTCTGCTGTCACCAAACAGAGAATGTCTCATTGGATAGTAGAGGGTATCTCTCTGGCCTACGAGGCGCATGGCTTGACTTCGCCTCTGGGGGTGCGTGCTACTTCTACAAGAGCAGTAGCTTCTTCTCAGGCTCTCTGTTAATAAATAACAATTTGGTCCCTCTGTAAATTCTCTTTGCCACCGTGAAATCTTCTCAGTCTCCTAAAGTGTAAATACGGCCGGGAAGTAAGAAAACACACATTCAAATGTATTCTCAATACTTCAATTTATTCATAGAAATACAGATCTTATATAGGCATGTCGAGGGGAGTTTCACCCTCTTAACCAATGAGGATAGGATGACATACACATATAGGATGTTTGGCCAAGAACATGTGTTTTGTATAAAATGGCCACATATACAGAAAAACATGTACATATTAGGAATAGACTTCCTGGCCAAGGATGCCGAACCCTCCTCACAGTTCAGCATGAACTCCTTTACCTCGTAATCCTAGCATTCATCTCCTTATTTGGACATTTGACCCAAACAACTAATGTATACATTTAAGCATGCATACCTCGCATATGAGTAAGAGATATTTAAAACATTAATACAAGAGAGAGAAATGGATACAGGAGGGAGAGTGAGAGGGAGAGGGAAAAAAAGGAGGGGTGAGGCATATCATGGAACCTTAACAAGACAGAGAGTGTTTTCTAACACTCTTTAAGGTGTCTTCGTTGGATGATGTCTGTGCAGCGGCAGGTTGGTCGGAGAGCTAGCACCTTCATTAAATTCTACAGTCTGGATGTGAGGATGGCTCCTGGCTCCCAGGACTTATCCGCTTGAGCAGGCGCTTTCCCTGGTCTTCCAGCTATCTGAGGTACGTAAGGCGTTATGGTATAGCGTTCCCATAGCGATGATGTCATCGCAGCATTGAAGTGAACCTATGAAAGGGAACGTCTCGGGTTACGTATGTAACCTTGGTTCCCTGAATAGGGAACAAGATGCTGCGATGCTGGTCATTCCTTACCTCCGATAGCGCTTCCTTCGTCATGTGGAAATCTGATGAAATAGCGCACAGCACGCTGATATAGCATATGTGATAACGTGTGGGCTGGTGCTAAGCGCTATTTGGCCAATGAAATTGGCGTGATGGTATAAGGGCTTCAGACATTCGTCTGAAATTTGTTCCCTATTCAGGGAACCAAGGTTACATATGTCACCGAGACGTAAGCAACTGTCTTTTTTAAGAAACGTAACAGTTTTAAAAAATCACGAGTGGGGTGTAATTGGTGTGTTTTATGTCACAGAACCCAAAAGGCAAATTATTCTTCCTTCGAACTGGTTCTCATTAAAATACAAATCTTGTGTAATCCCACTTATGCTATCTGTAATCAGATGCACATTTAAAACTGAATATAATTTAATTTCAGTCATATGTGTTTCATAAACACATAATACTTTCTGTATTACAATCCGCCATTAAAATGATACATTTAATTATTCTGGCTGCTGTGAGAAAAGGCTATAAACGATCCGCCCCCTGCAGGATCCTCACATGCCATAGCCTAGTAGCCAGTTGTCCTGATATTTTTATCCTACCCATCAGATTGACCAGGGTTTACTGCGCATGCTCACATCAATATTGTGTCAGTTTTGTCATGCTGAACAACAATATTTCCTGCGAATTCCTACCAGTACCACTCAAATTAAATGTTCGGTTCACTTAGTTTTGTCGTGGCCACGACATAATAACTCGTGGGAACGTGATATTATGTCGTGGCCACGAGATATTAATTTGAGGGAACATCATATTAACTCGTGGGAACGTGATATTATGTCGTGGCCACGAGATATTAATTTATTAACTCGTGGGAACGTGATATTATGTCGTGGTCACAAGTTATTAATTTGAGGGAACATCATATTAACTCGTGGGAACGTGATATTATGTCGTGGCCAC